CAAAAAAACACCCCAATTACAAATCGATTTTAGAAACAAATTTTTTCTTGATCAAACAGGCCTAGTATATAGAGAAGGTAAGGGGACCAAACCTGTAATAGAAACAACTGATTTTTGGGAATAAGTATTGTAATTGGATGGTCGGGGGTGAAGGGTTAGCACTGGGTGATTGGATGTAATGAAGCAGGAGAATGAAATATTATAGGTATCAAGACATACATGTTCTGTACAATGGTTAATGGGAAGTGATAAGTATAAGAGTGTTTAAATACCGAATATGTTAAAGCCACAATAAATAAAAAAAAGAAATAAAAAGAAAACTATTTCTTGATTTAAGTCATTGACATGCTGGCTGATGTCCAAACAGGGGATGAGCTGGAGATGTCTCTGCCTTGGTCCTTTCACTATTGGCTGCTACTTCCCGGCGGATGTCAGGTGGTGCAATACCAGCTAAGCAGTGTCATTTCCCCAGTGGTGTAGGGCGCAGACACCCCGTGATAATGCGGCATGTCTCATTAAGAGCCACATCCACTGTTTTAGCGTGGTGAGATGTGTTCCACACTGGGCATACGTACTCAGCAGCAGAGTAGCATAGCGCAAGGGCAGATGTCTTCACTGTGTCTGGTTGTGATCCCCAGGTTGTGCCAGTCAGCTTTCGTATGATATTGTTTCTAGCACCCACTTTTTGCTTGATGTTCAGGCAGTGCTTCTTGTAGGTCAGGGCACGGTCCAGAGTGACTCCCAGGTATTTGGGTGTGCTGCAATGCTCCAGTGGGATTCCTTCCCAGGTAATGATCCTCAGAGCTCGAGATGCTTGTCTGTTCTTAATATGAAAGGCACATGTCTGTGTTTTAGATGGATTAGGGATCAGCTGGTTTTCCCTGTAGTAGGCAGTAAGAGCACATAGAGCTTCGGAGAGCTTCTGTTGAAGCATCTCAAAGCTCCCTGTTTGAGCAGTAATGGCATGATCGTCAGCATAGATGAAGCTCTCTGTCCCTTCTGGCAGCGGCTGGTCATTTGTGTAGATGTTGAACATGGATGGAGCAAGCACGCTCCCCTGAGGCAGGCTGTTCTTCTGTTTCCGCCATCTGCTTCTCTGGCCTTGGAACTCAACAAAAAAGCTCCTGTTTTGTAGCAGGTTTCCTATGAGGCGGGTGAGGTGGTCGTCCTTTCTGATACTATACATTTTTCTCAGGAGGAGGCAGTGGTGGTTCACAGTCTCATAGGCTGCTGACAGGTCTATGAAGACAGCTCCTGTGATCTGCTGCCTTTCAAAGCCATCTTCTATGTGCTGAGTCAAGTTCAGCACTTGCGACGTGCAGCTTTTGCCTTTCCTGAAGCCAGCTTGCTGTGGGATCAGACAGGGGTCTAGTTTTCCCATAATTCTATGCAAAATAAGTCTCTCCAGAACTTTGTAGAGGTGGCACAACAGGGAGATTGGTCTGTAGCTTTTTGGATCATTACAGGCTCTTATAAATCACATACTATTTAAACTATCTCCTTGAAATGACAGAGTAGCTATTTTCGGTTTGGGGAAAATAGGAAATTTTTGTCTCAGTGGAAGTCAAATCCCAGTCCAGCTGGGGATAGAATTCTGGGAATAGAAAGTCAGGTTGCATCAGGTGTGAAATTGAATGGCAATGTCCAGGAAGGATTGTCTACGTTTACCTTTATGACTTGGCTCTGAGCTTGCATTTTGGGTAAACCCGATAGTGTATCAAAACATCACCACATCTCATTGCCCTGTGTGTATTTCCATCAGGATCAGGTCTGTGGAGCGCAGCAGAAAATCACTGCCTGATAAGAGACCATTCGGAAATGTATATATGTTTACTTATAACCTGAAAGTCTTTGTTAGGATTGGCCCTATTATTAGGTAGAGTGAAGTAGGAACCACAGGTAGTAAATGCTGGGAAGGAGAGAGAACTGTGTGCCATGACAGTTGCCTGTCCTTGCACGTATTAACCCATTGTATATGCTTGTGTATATATTTGTGTAAATGTGTGTACGAGGGTTGAATGAAAAGTAATGCATCCACCTTTGTAACTCTTCAGCAGATGGTAGTATTGCTATGCTGCAGGTACTGGCTTGTTCAGTAGACTCTCGTCTATGGTTTTATTTTGGCGGAAAGCCTTAGCATTGAATGGTTGTGTTGTTAAAGTGCAAAGTATGGAACCCTGCGCAGACAGTTGGTCAATGCGACTTAAGCAATGTGCAGTCATTGAATTCTTAACAGCAGAAGGTGTCACCCCAAAAGAGATTCATCAGAGAATGCAAGCTGTTGATGGTGATTGTGTTGATGTAAGTACTAGGCCTGGGTAACAACGCAAAAATTTGTTTCTAAAATCGATTCGTTTTTTGGGGGGGTTTTTTGCGTTTCGTTATTTAAAAGAATTACAAAATTTTCCTTTAAAAAAGTTTGGTATTTACAAAATTTCGTTAATATTTACAAAACGTTTTGTAAAGATGGCGCCCGCGGTTGC